TTATTTTAGATTATTGGATTAGATATATTAATCCCTCCCTCTAATCTCGTACGACATAGATAGAGAAGTACATATTTGTTGTTCACTGATAAAAGCAAAAAAGAAAAAACATACACAATACGACATGGGAGGAGGTGACGCCGGCTAACGGTATGCAGATGGAGATGGCATGGCTGCATCTCCTGGCAGCGATGCTAAGAGCATGCACGGCAGATCTTCTATCCGGCCATCCATCCTTTGTTTAGCGTATGGAGGGGAAAAATTATGCTCCAGCAGATTCTCCATCACACACGCAATTTTTGAATATCCTACAAACCGAGTCCTCTCTCAACCAAATTTGGAGTTTCTCTCTTCACTCCATCCCCCAACTACCCAGCTCCCACGAACTCGCGCCACCATCCGGACTGCATACCGTGGGCAACAGGGAACAGAGAGAGGATGTGCATATCGGATCTGGCGGTGAAGATCACCAGAGTGGAGGCCCCGCCGCCAACGCCAACGCCTCCTCGCGCCGTCGCCTCCGCACCGCTGCACGCCATGCCGTCGTCGCCGGCCCACCGCGCTCCGGCCAAATCTAGCCAGGGGATGACTAGATCCAGCGAAGGTAGAACCGCCCCTTTGCTCCCGACACTGGCCAGCCGCTTGCGCCGCTCCTCCGCGCGATGGCTCGCGTCACCCCGCCGGCCACCTCCATCCAGATCCCGCCATGGAGGGTGAAGGTAGAGAGAGGGAGAAGATGCGCCGGTGGCCACCTTCGCTGGCCGCTCCCGCCATCGGCCACCTGCACCCGCCCCTTGCGCCGCTCCTCCACCCCTCCGCCTCTTGCGCCGCTCCTCCGCCCCTCCACCTCTTGCGCCGCCCGCACTGCTCCTCTAACCTCGCCCCTCCTCCCGGTGACTCCTCCGCCCGCGCCGCTCCTCCGCCCGGCCGCTCCTCTGATCGCCGCCACCCCTCCGCCTGGCGACTCCTCTGCCCAAGCCGCCCCGCCGGTTGGCTCTTGTCCTCCTCGCCCTCTCGATGGTAGAAAAGAGAGAAGTGTGTGGAAGTGTTTTTTTTAGAGCGGTGAAAGCTGAGTATAAATATGTGGTAGTTGTAAAATATTAGTAAAATATAGGATGTTGGTATATAGATGATGTAATATGGATGATCTGTTGGAATGAAAAATAATATGGAGTATGAATCTTTTTGAATGACCATCTAAATGGGAGTATGGAGGATGGAATTTAGATGAGCTGCTGGGGATGCTCTAAGGTCGACGAAGGAAGAAAGCCGTTAGGGCCGCTAGGGAACAGTGGTGTACACCGCAACCACCCAAAGAGGAAGCCCACCGTTGATCAAGTTCCTGGCAATTTCGTCGACGTCAACGAGAAGGGGACCAACCAATTCTATTGCCCTCGCATGAAGCCTCCCACTGCTTCATCTCCAAACAAATAGAGCAATATGTCACTCAAAAAAAGATTTTGAATTGTTTCTTTTGCAGAACAGAAACAACATTATTGGTCTCCTCCACTTTTTTTAGCCAGGTTATCTTTTGTTAGGATTACTTTTTGTTACGAAGTACCCAATAATGACCTTGAATTTTAACGGAATCTTTAAATCCGATAGAATCCTCAAGCGGATTCCAAAATTGAAGTTCATGGTCGCAGTATACATAGAGCTAACTAAAAGTTAGCCATTTTTATGGAGCAGATATACAAAGTAATCCTTTTCATCTGACAAGGTTATATTAGTTAGCCTAAGGATCAAATTGTTTCACTCAATTAGTTTTCGATTAACAATGGCATGCTTGAAAGAAATATTTAATGGCGTTATGCTCATAACCTCTGTCATAGTAGATTGTTTATTTCGAGCCACATTATATAAAGCAGGATTTTGGTCTTTAAGAACACATGATCCTAACCACGTGTTTTCCTAAAATCTTATATCAGTCCATTGCCACATCTAAAAGAACCATACTTTAGAAAATGATCTTTCACTTTCATTAAACCGGCCCAGAATTGAGAAATTTCTGCTTTGCTAAACATTCCAGAAAGAAGGTTACCCATTAAATATTTATTTTGCAAAAGATCTTGCCATTTGCTTAACTTTGATTTTGTTATCAAGGTCTGGGAAACCTAGATCTTTTGGTCGACATATGTCTTCCAGTCATTGTTGCTCCAAAAGAAACATGACCTATAGTAATACAATCTTTGAAGCATCCCTTGTAAGAATTTCAAAGAAGGATAACATAAATAACGGAAGGCAAGAAAGAATTGAGTTTAGAAAGACAGTCTTCACAAAAAAAACAAAAAAGGAACAACGGAAGGCTGAGTTTAGAAAGACCAGTCTTAAAAAGAAAAGAGATTTGGAGGGAGAGACGTCCCTCCCAATATTTTTTATTAAGAAAGACAAGTCTTAAAAAAAACGAGTTAAACAATTTTTTTTAAAAGAAGGATAACATAAACAACGGAAGGCTAGAAATAATTGAGTTTAGAAAGACCGGTGTTCAAAAAAAAAATCAAAAAAGGATAACAAAAACAATGAAAAAAATTGAGTTTAGAAAGACCTGTCTTAAAAAAAAAGAGAGAGATTTGGAGGGAGTGACGTCCCTCCAAACATTTTTTTTTAGAAAGTTCAGTCTTCACAAAAAAAAAAGAGATTTAAACATTCTTTAAAAAAGAATTGTAAGCGCGGATTGAACATAGGATCTCAGGGTTAAAACTACACACCCCTTGCCGCTGCACTTAGGGGTGAAAACGAAGCGGATTCGGATGGATAGTGGTCATAGCATATCCTAAACCATATTTTTTTAAGTGGGTGCGGATAGTGTAGATGTGGATGTGAAATGGATTATTTCAGATGTCAAAAATGGTGCGGAGTCGGTGCAGAACCGGTTCAGAAACGGACTAAATTTATCGGATGTTACATGTGTATGCAATCAATACAGCATTGAGTTAGCAATGCAAGAAACAATAATACAATAATCAATAAACAACCCATATCGTAATAATTATGTACTTAAGTGTTAAATAACATGAATACATGATGTCCATAATATAAAAATACAGCTATGCAAGTGTGACATGAGACGGTGAAAGCCTTAGACTAAAAAATATAGGTTAATTGATAAATTAGGCTATTGGATGGACCAACTTATGTTATATGCAATAGATAAAGTGGTTATATGTGTTGATAATTTCATATTATCCGACAAACGGCCTATCGGATAATCCGACAGAAATGTCAGATAATCCATAGCTACCAGATTTTAGAGATACCATATCCTCTTCCGCATTCGTATCCATATCCACCAGGTTTCTAAAAGCCCACACCATATCCTCATTTCAAACAAATTTGGAGGGGAGCGGATCCGATATTATCCGATCCGTTTTCACTCCAAGCTGCACTATCAAGTGCATCTCAACGGTCTTTATCATATGGCATGTTTTTGACCTTCCATGTGTTGAGTTTCCTCTCAAATCTATTCTCATCTCCTTTCTAATCGATGTTACGGAGTTTCCGATAATGAATGAAGATAACAAGATATCTAATACGATTTGGATCTAGCTGTTCGATTGAGACAGCTAGAGGAGAGATATTGTCGGCTTTGTTCAGTGCCTCACTGTGGGTGTGGGCACTTGCCGGTCAATGCGCAGGCCGATCCTATGATTTTGAGGGCCCTAGGTGATCTCATCATGATGGGCCCTATAAACTATATATAAAATTTTATGATATATATAGGTGCTAACTTTACTTGCAAAACGAAAATAAATACATCCATATATTAAATTTAACATGTTTGGTAATTATCGAGAAATAAAGTCGACCAAAATAACAATATATTTGTACTTTGAAACTATGCGCATGTGCAGCTCACTACTACAAAAGTGTTTTTTCTGTACGAGACCCCATGATTTTTGCAAACGGACCATAACTAATGGCGTCTGTAAAAATCGAGCGGCATTTTCGCAGACGGACCTCTTAAGACACCCGTATGGAAAAATCGATTTTCCTATACGTGCCTCTTAAGAGGTCTATATGCAAAAATGAGGTCATTTTTGTATGCGGCTCACTTAAGCGCCCGCATGTAAAAATCGATTTTTCCATACGGGCGTCTTAAGGAGCCGTATGCGAAAATAAAATTTGAAAAATTTGAAACTAGAATATATCACTCATATGAACTCCAAATTGGATGATTATTTTTTCCTAAATGTTTCTAAAATCATGCTCTATCATGTTATTGTGTTCTTACTGCTATTATTTTGGCCATTTTTTCTTGCGACTTTGTTTTATCAATTTAAAATTTGAATTTCAAAACTTCAAATAATATTTTAAAGCAGTAAATGATTTCAGCTGAAAAAGTCATCAACAACAAAGTTGTATAACTTATGAAGATCTATAACTTCTATTTTGATCATTTATTCATCCGACAAAGTGATAGTAACATTTTCACAAAATTTACATATCTATCTTTTTTTTTTGTTTTTTCTCGCTTTTTTTCTCCACCGGGGAGTCATACTTTAGAAGACTTTTTTTTTTTACAATAGAAGTTCTTTTTCTTTTTTTCTTTTTTTTCTCTCTCTCTTTTTCTACCAGAGGAGTCAAACGCTTTTTTTTCTTTTTTTTAAGATAGAAGTTTTTTTCTTTTTTTTTTTGTTTTTTCTCGCCTTTTTTTCCACCGGACAACGGAAACTTCTTTTGTTTTTTAAGAGTATAGGAAGGTTAATCGATAGATTTACGATAACTTGAGTTACACATTCGTTTACATACAAGGCGTGCCTCCACCGCTGTGCTACTGCATGTTCTTTTTACATTCGTGTAATTATATTTCTATTATATACTGTAGTTGCATTTGAAGTTTTTTGAAATAAAAAAACTTGCAACACCCTCCAAAAGAAAAAAAGAAGAAGAAAAGACTCAGGTTGTGATTTTGGTCATGGGCCTTTGCGATTAGCCAGGCCTCAACGCCCAGCCGAATAAGGCCCAATATCACCCGCTTGTGCCTCAAGCCCTAACCTAGCCCAACGTCATTCCCGGCGCCGAATCCCCCCGAAACACACGATCCTTCCCGCGCCGCCGCTGAGGCGCCCTAACGCCGCCGTCTCCGGCCGCGCGACCACCTCCGATCACCGCCTCTCTCTCTCTCTCTCTCCACTGCTCCCCCGCGCATCGCCTCCACCATCGGGCCTACCTGCCCGCGCCGGCGCCGCCGATCAATCGCCGCCGCCGTCAGTCCTGCTCCTGCGGGCGATACCTAGCTGCTCCGGGGCGGCCATTTCCTCCGATTGCCCGCGCTGCCTCGTACCCTCTCCGCCACCGACCAGTCCCTTCCTTGAGTTCGTTGGCTGCCGTCGTTAGAAAATTATTTGGCCATGCTATTATTATTATTTTTGTTCTTAGCCACTAGTAGTACTTTTCATTCACTAAGTTTCGGTCATTGCAGTAGCTAAATCTGAATAGAAGAAAGACCAAATTGAGACAACTGGGGAAACAAGTGATCGAATCAGATCATCGATCCCTCTTTTTGGCCCAAGCTCCCGAGACGGACTATTAGTCCCTGGTGATAGTTTATTGACTATTGTTTGCTCTGCATATGAAAGTTTTGTGTATTCATCGATGCCATTGTCACGTTGCTACTTTCCTGAACTGTTCTTAGAGATAGAATTTGAGCTGTGCAAGTTCCCGACTTCCTGTTTCAATCAATGCATTATTTTCAGTTTTCTGCTTATCATTATGATGGGACTCATGTTTCATAACCGTTCTATTATACTTTAATTGTGGCATAGTTTTGGTCTAACCTAGTATTGGTTTGGTTCACTATTTTTCAGTTCTTGGATTGACCAAGTCTGAATAGAGACAATGCAAAATGAAGCAAGCGGTGTACAGTGGTCAGAGTGTACATTTCTCTTGAACCACCATTGAGCTCCCCATATGTGAGTATTTTGTTTCATGGATATTCACACATGGCCTTCTACTGCAGTCATGCTGTTCTGTGGATTCACTTGTGCAATTAATTTATGTTCTTAAATTGTTCATGTAGGTACAATTTCAGTTTAGCTAGTTACTTAATATATTGCTTCCTCCTTTTGCTTATCATTAGAATGACTTGACGTTCTTTTAGTTATGGCATAGTTTCGGTTCTAATCAGGTATGCTTCGGGTCACTTATTTTCAGCCTTTGATGTCTCCATATCTGAAGAGTGTATAGGAATGTGAGAAAACCGGACTGCAGAGGTTTGCAATTCCTCTTTAAAGACAAGCTCAACTCCTAACTGGCACCAACTAATTCTTTTCTGAGTTTATTTATTGCTAAATATTGTCCTACTTATGCAAATATTGGTAATTTTGTTTATCCATTTCCGCGATTGATTTTACTGCTATTTGACTAAACTGTGTGTATGCCTGTATGGCAATCTAGCTGTGAAAGTTGCCGTTTCAATGCATTGCTTGATGTTTTCTGCTTACCGTTATGGTGGGACTCAAGTTCAGCTATTAATGTATTCTACTTTAGTTGTGGCTTAGTTGGGTATAATTTAAGCAATGATTTTGCGTCAGTATTTTTCTTGGCTAAATATGAAGGAATCAAGCAAAATAAATCAAGTGAACTTGGTTACAATGATCAAAATGTAGATATCTCTTTCAACATTAGTTGTCCCATTGGCAAGATTTATTCTCTTATGTCAGTTTCTTGACTATCAACGCTATTGCCTACTATAGTATTTGCTGTTTTCTGGATTTACTTGTGCGATTAACCTATTGCTATTTGCGCCATTTTTTCTTGTTAATATAATTTTAGTTGCATAAGTTATTGTTTGAGTGCAATGTTTTTTCATCTTAGATGCTAGATGCTATTCTTGTTTGCTTAGTTTTTTTTTCGTTTCTTTACTCATATAACTTCTTAAGAACAACCGAGAGTATTGCAAACTGTTTGTTTATTTATGCTGTTTGTTTCCATTTGCAGATGAATAGTACCATCCTTGATGTATTTAAGTCAAGAAATATTAATGGAGAATTTTCTGGAACTGTCATACATTTTTATTCATTCAGTTATGAGGGTAAAGATGATACATGGTATAAGGGTGAAATTTTTCCTGTCATGAGCTTGAAGACACCATTAGAGAAGGGGAAAGGAATTAGAGTTTCTATATGGACATTCCCAGCTGAGAAAGAAAAAGAATTGAAGGAAATGATTCTGGATCTATTGCCGTTGGAAAGTACCGCACTGCTGAAGCCAAGTTTTGCCGCGTACAATTCTCATATTGACCGTGCAATACTTTGTTGCACACCATGCACCTCAAATATGACTTCTTGGATCGCCAAGCAGGTTCAAATACCTTCCGATTCTTATCTCCAGGAGGATTCAAAAAACATGATACGGTATGCCTAACTTTTACAATCTTAAGTAAATCCATCTCATAGTGCACATATTATAGATATAGCAATAGTGTTACTAGCTAAGTTCTTGGCGCTGGTTATCAAAGAAATCGTGGGCTGGGAGCTATCAATGATGACTAGTAGGAGCAGATAGCTTACCACCATTGTCAACTCACATTGTGGAGTCATAATTTAAAACCGGGGGCATTGATTCTTGTTGGTAGCCATTGATTCATTTCATCTGTTAGTCATGCTCAACCAATTCTGGGGAGGGTCATAATTGATTATTTGGAACTTCATGTAACATGTTTCTGCAAAAAAAAAAAAAGGGATTGAACAATCATAGAGATAAATAAGTGCTATAAACACAAAAGAAAAATCTTTCACTAGAATTATTTATAATGTTGAATATGATACTGTAATGTTATTAAATCATTTTTTTGTATCACTAAATTTTTAGTATATAATAGGATTGTTACTCTATTTCTTCTTTGATCAACTCAAATATGTCAACCAAATAACTGGGTACTCATATATAAGTCAACATGGTACAATAGTAATATGAGAGCCAATATTTCTTTTAACAGTATGCTCCCTTACTTTTAAATCATTACGTTTTAAGCTGTTTGATAATAAATGTTCCATTCCTTTTGTTGGCTTAGCTCCATATTAAATCTGTCAAAGGTGATGTGGGACTTGGGCTATGCTTGTGATGGGTTAGATGACCCCCAAAGCTTTATTATGATGGATTCTAATGTCAAACTTCTCCCTTTTGGGATACGAAAGAGACAATTCTGATAGTGAAATGATGCACCGCATAAAGTTTTCAAATCTTTTAGAAAATCATCTCAGCCAAAGATGGAGTGATGTTGAAGTGGATGAATTTATCAAGCTCATGAGAAATCCTTCAGCAAGGTAAGTGATTCAGAGCTTAAAATTTTATTTTAATCAATAACTCATGTCATAATTTTAATTTTGATTTCTTCTGCAGTTTGGAACATTTGCTAAATCATCCACTCTTGCTGCCCCCTGAGATTCGTATGTCCTCATACCTTAACTTGTGGATTGAGAATTTGACACCAGACCAACATAATCTGTACAACTCAATCACAAGTTATAAGGAAAAAGTACCCAATAATAAAACTTTCATGTATGGGGATACAACTCGAGAAGCTCATCGTTTTTCACGTAACACAGCATCGCACTACATAAGTCATTGGAGACGACTTATCCCGGTATGTTTGTACTCCCTCTGTTCCATATTATAAGGTGTTTTAGTTTTGTCTTAAGTCAAACTTCTTTAATTTTGACCAAGTTTATAAAAAATACATCGACATCTACAACATGGAATTGGTTTCATTAAAATCCATCATAAAATACCAGGACAACACAGGTAAAGCATATATTGTCTAACATTAATCAACAATTACCATGTTGCACTAGTTTATACTATCATATATTTCTACTTTTTTATTCAACAGTTTACCTGTTTACTCTGTACAGAGCAGTAATAGGACAAAAGCTCCATTCGACATGGTCGACAAAGAACTCAAGAAGTGCTTTCCAGGGTTGCCGTGTAAGATTTATGCTATGACATTAGACCCACTTTGGAACAAATGATTGGGGTATCGTAATATTCATTTTTTGACATATCAGCTGTAATGTTTTCCTTTTCTTTTCTGTAAATGCCATTCAAATCTTGATATAATGATATACAATGCTTTTGTGTAGAGTTTGCAATGAATGCTAATCATAAGATTGTACTTATTTGGTGTTTCAGTGTTTGCAACAGAATTAGACATACAATAATAGCCAATGGGAATATTATGTCATTGCTGAGTTCTCTGTTGTCCTAGATGATATAATAGGCTTATTGATAAAAAGTTGTCCCCAAATCTGGCGGTACTTGCAGGACCACCGTTTGTAGCTACTAATGTTGGCTAAATATTTGTTCTTCAGTGCATACTAGCTTATTAATCCATTTGACACTTGAGCTCATGAATAACTTGGTCAGCAACTGTTGGGCCACTGATCTTCTCTGGTTTCGTATAGGCTTATTTTTTCCTTTTAGCTAACAATATTAAGCACAGCTCCATGGTCCTTAAATAGCTCATTTATTTTACTTCTTGCTAAATTCTACCTTCTCTTTTTATATAACCATTCTTGATGACTGCATAATGCTTGTGAAAGCACATATGCTTTCACGGTATGCTGATGTGGCCTATCCAGATCTTTTAAATTTATTTTATGTTTTGCTGATAATTTCTTTCCATGTCTGAATTGCATTGAAATACCTTTTTGCAAATAAAGTTTAACTAATCAATTCGCTCTAAAGATGTGGTTCTTTGTGTCATTGTACATTCCAGAGCAATATTCAGTTCGAATGCTTTCTCGGTATACGCTGTTGAGTTTTACATGCAGAGTTTTTACTCTAGCTGTATATATTTGGCATGGTTTTGCGAAATCATTGGGTCAGTTACTTTGCAGGCTATATTTGTGAAACCATTGGGTCAGTTACTTTGCAGGCTATATTTGCTAGTATTTTTCTATAATTAGACTGCACACAAGGAACATCATTCTAAATTTGATGATAATATTGTTGGAATTGATTTGCAGGTGTGAGGAGTTTTCTAACATTTGCAAGTCCAATTTTTACAGTGGGAAGTGAAGTTTCTCCCCCAACGATATTCTTGTGGCTGTCGATTAGCCCTGCGATATTTTGTACTCAATCCAGAATGAAAATGTATGCACTCAATCCAGAATGAAAATGCATGTAGCATGTTGTCGTGCTCAATTGAGAATATGTAATGTAACGTCTGTTAGCAACCTGGTTCCGTGAACTTATTATAACTTGGACAAATGGCGCAATCCTTGTTGTACCTTGTCTTTCAGTTGTAACTACGGAGTATGTTCTTAGATAGTCTAATCACTGTCATTACTTCATTTCCCTCTAAGACAATATGCAGGATGAACACACATGCTCATAGATTCACAACCGAAGTCTATTGTCATAGAATTAATATGTCGAGGATAATTGGCTATTCTTAGACTCAACTGATATGATGAACCCGTGCTTTATGGATTTTCTAGAAACAACTAGTAACATTTAGGGCCTCTTTGGAGGCCTGGTTTTGGCCCCAAAAGGAGGGTGTAAAATACTGCCTGTTGTGACATTCAGTACCACCCTCTTAAGTCTAATAGAATTGCTTGACTCAGTACCATTCAAAGCTTGTTCTGATATAGCTACCAAACTTATCTCCTCTTCTTCTTCATAAATGCCATTGTTCTGATTAGTTGTTGATTCCTCTTGAAGAATATCCAGTAACTCTTGTACCACGTAGAGCTGAACTGATGTGGAACACTAATAATGATCATTGCCCCATCTTTCTCCACAAGTAAAACAGAAGCCCTTGGTTCTCATGTATGCTTTCAAGGAAGATAGCCTGTCATCTTTGCTTCTGTTGAAATCCTGATTTCTTTTATCTTCAGGTGTAACATTCACTGCATCCCTGGTAGGAGTATTAGTAACATGAGTTTGACCAGTGGTCCTATTCACTGTCCTAACATAGGAATTATGTTCAGATTTCGTGTAAGACACAGGTTTCACTCCCTCTAAAGCTTCCTCATGCAACAGTGCTAAAGAATAATCAGTATCCATATCTTGGGGCCTTTGAACCAAAATTCCCCTCCTAATTTCATCCTTGAGACTTTCTTCGAATTTGGTGACAAAATACACAGTGGGTACATACTGTTCATATGCAAGCAATTGGTGCATTAGGCTATCAAAGCGCTCCACATTATCTATTGCCAGTCTGCCTAACATGGATCCATTGCCTAATCAAAGCTTCATGCATGTCTCTAGTAAAACGAGTGCACACTCTCACACAAATCATACCATGTCACTCCAATAAGTTGGTTTCTGACTGACTGTAAGTCTGTAACCAGAATACAGCATCGCCTACGAAATTTAGAGTGGCCACCTTGACCCACTGACCAGGAGGAATTCCATATACATTGAAATATACCTCACAATTAGCATGCCACATCTGAGGATTATCTCTGTTAAACTAGGGACAAGTCATTGGAGGTACACTTCTAGCTAGGGATGAAAACGGATCGAATACGGTTGGAAACTAGCTCTATCATATTCATTTTCATAACTTTTTTCGGAATTGGAAACCCGGATATGAAAAAGGAATCGAATATTATCAAATACAAATACGAAGCGAATACGAAGCGAAACGAAACGAATACGGTGACGAATATTAATCAGAATATAAAAACCCCTCACTAGTCACAGACAATTTTTCCTATTGTGTTTCTAAAATCATGCTCTATCATGTTATTGTGTTTTTACTGCTATTATTTTGGCCATTTTTTGTGACTTTGTTTTATTAATTAAAAGTTTGAATTTCAAAACTTCAAGTGATATTTTGAAGCAGTAAATAAATTCAGCTGAAAAAGTCATAAACATAAAAGTTGTAGAACTCATCAAGACATACAACTTTTATTTTGGTCATTTCTTCATCCGACAAAGTGATAGTAACATTGTTCACAAAATTTATCTCTCTCATTGTTTATAAACCAAATGAGATATATGTAAATTTTGTGAACAATGTTACTATCACTTTGTTGGATGAAGAAATGACCAAAATAAAAGTTATAGACCTTGATGAGTTATACAACTTTGTTGTTGATGAATTTTTCAGTTGAAATCATTTAGTATTTGAAAATGTTGTTTGAAGTTGTCATATTTTCAAATTCAAATTCAAATTGTTCAAACAAAGTCATATAGAAAAATGACCAAAATAAAAGTTATAGATCTTGATAAGTTATACAAATTTGTTATTGACAATTTTTCCATTTGAAATCATTTACTACCCAAAAAAATTATTTGAATTTCTTATATTTTAAAATTCAAATTTTATATAGTTCATTCAAACTCGGATGGAGAAATGGCCAAAATAAAATTGGTAGATCTCAATGAGTTCTACAACTTTGTTTTTGACAACTTTTTCATATGAGTTCATTTAGTATCATAAAATTCAATTTGAAATTCATTTTTTCAAGAAGTCTGATTTGCCTCCTCATGGGTTGGGTGGCTTACGGGCCTTACGTGTAAGTTGGATATCCGATGAAAAATACCGGATAATATCCGATGGATATCACCTATATCATATTCGTTTTCATATCCGAAAAAAATATCCGAATTCGTTTCTGAATTTGAAAATTTCCAGATATATCCGACCAAAACTATCCGAATCCGCAAAAAGGTCCGGTCGGACGGAAATTATTCGAATCACTTTCAACCCTACTTCCAGCAACCACACCATTTCCTCCCCCAGTCTCTACTGGAACCAAAGCAGAATACAATCCAAAGAGCAGAGAAGAATTGAGAAAAGGATTTCGCATACTATGGATTAGCAAAAGGTGTCTGTGATGGAGAAGCCCTGTAGTGTTCCTCCTTGATCTCCCCCACCATGTTCTCTATCTTCGCCTGACATAATATGCTGCTCTCCAGCTGATCCACCTTCGCACTCGGATTCCTCAGCATTGTATTCAGATCCTGGACTCATTTCTCCACTTGGGGAAGTTGCGCCTTCACCGTAACCTTGAGATCTTGCAGATCTGCTCGAGCTCTCTCTTCTGCCTCCGCTCTTTTCCTCTCATTTTATTCTAGAGTTTTCAATAGCAAATCTAGCTTGCCCTCTTGCACCATGATTTGCGTTGCCTGTTTGGTGACATAGCATGGCTTCTCCAGGACCATAGCTCCCAATCTACTTTGAGCTCAGCTAACCAGATCGAGGCAAGTTGCATTTTCATGGCCTCCGCTCAAGAGTAGAGTGCAATCCTCGATTTGTGATTCTACAGCCAAACCAAGAGGATTTAGGTGGAAGAAGCTCTAGTACCAGATTGTTGTTAGAACCCAACTCACGAACACATAAAGATAGTTTATGGGACATTTGTGTTTCTCTCAATCTGACAGGATCGAGCCACTGCCGCTGCTGCCGCCATGTTCCAGATTGATGGTGTCTTTTGCCGGGCGTCCACAATATTTATAGCTTGTTCCCTCGCCTTCTACTCTTCTCTCTAACGAAAGTGTCTTTCATGTCTGTGCCTTCTTCATCATCGTATTGAGCCTTGGCGCTCCCGCATCCTCGTGATCCCTGACAGCTCGATGTCGCCACGTCTTCAGACACACGTCGAGCACCTCGTTCTCTCATCTTCTCTCTCGCACGTGTCCCCTCTGTTGAGTGGTGATGGAACAAGGTGGACAGGGGTTGGGCGAGGTCATGTGGATCCCATGTCGTGGTAAACTAAGTTAGGGTGGGAGACATGGGTAGAAACTTTGGTGATAAATGAACTGTGAATATTTTGAGGATTATTTGCTCTCCCTCAACTTTGTAATTCATTTATTTTATTTGTGGGACTGATAAGTTATGGTGGATTTTTGTGGAGATAGAAAAAATGATCTAAGTTTCTATTTTTTTCCTTGTTTCACTCAAAATTTCATAATATTTTATTCTCAGTAAAATAAATAAAAATGGTTTGGTTGGATCTAGTTTGAATTTTAGGGGGTCAAAACCAATGAAATAAAATCTGGAAAAATGGTATTAATTCATTATAAACAAACTAGTATTTGAATGAATTATGTTGCATGTACACTTTTATATGGTTTGATGCATATCTGGGTGAAGTATATTTTTTGCTGAATAGGGTTTTGATTTTAAATAGGTTTTGACCACTTTGACCGATTTAATTGAGGAATTAAATCTAGAGATAAAATTATGAAAAAAAATACAACGAGTTAAATATATTGAGTAGCATCTACATGAATTTTCCGGATTTTATCTTACACCAATTAATTTTAGGAATCCACTAAGCTTAACTATATATATGCTCATTGCAAAATCATATTTAAGTTATGCTTGACCTGAAATGAGGTTAGTAGGTTTGATTTTTATTTCACCATCCATAATCTCATAAGATAGTTGAGGGTTTTATAAATGTATATATTTGGGTTAGGTCAAGTGCACCTAAGGTGATAATTAGGGTAAATTATAATATGCGTAGGTTAATATGTTTATATTCTTTCTATGCTCAAGATATATCTTCAGATGAGTGGCCAAATTATTCTTATGCAGTTTCACATTGGTCATGTCATAACATTTAAGTTGTAAGGATTTTAGGATATGATTATTTTAATACTTGACATTAGGTCCTTTTAATTAATTGTTTCAAATTTTAATAAATGCTCATATGACCTATTATGAAATGCTTGTAAGATAAAGAACACATAGAAGGACTCAAGTCACATTAATACATCATGCAAATGTATGCAGACACTATGTTTTATTTATTTTAGGTTAGAAGGGAAAAATTAATTTTTTTTCACAAATTTTCATATAGGCACTAGCTATATTAGAGTCACCTAGTAGATATTTTAGTTGGAAAATTTTAGTATTTCAGATTTACGAAAATCATTTTCAACATTTAGATTCAAAATTTGAATTTCAACTTTTTGGGTATGTTAGAGTGAAATTAGAAATTTATACAACTCTAAATTCACCGTTACGCTATCACCTCAAATACATCGCTAGCATATATCATTTTTCATTTTTCACTCCGACCTTGTGTCAAAAGCTTTTGACCCTAAAGTCATTCTAGTCTTTATAAAGAATTTCTTTCAATTGAGTTGAAAGTATCATCCAGCAAATTACCAGCACAGTGTCTTTCAGCCGTAACACATTTTTTGATGTTTGTCAGGAAATTACACAAATTTTGAGTGTCCATTAGTAAAATTTGCATTTTTTATTAATCTTTTTCTAGCTAACACGTGAATCCCATGGTGTATCTTATTATTTCCCTTTTTTCTTTTAATAATGCCACGTAGAAGTAGAAGCTGCATGAGATGAAAACCAAGTTAACCTACAGCAGCGTGAGCACCATGTGGGATGATACCATCATTCAAGCCGCTAAGGGATTTAAGTTGCAGTGTGGTTTTAGACTCAGTTCGTTTCCCCCTTTTCCCAACTTCCACTTCTCGTTTTTCGCGCGCACGCTTTTTAAACTGCTATTTTGGTGTGTTTTTTTAAAAAGTTTCTATACGAAAGTTGTTTAAAAAAAATCATATTGTTCCATTTTTGAAAAAAAAAGCTAATACTTAATTAATCACGTGTTAATGGATTGCTCCGTTTTTCGTGCGGAGGAGTTTGCTATTAATCACGTGCTAAGGCTGTGATATGTTATAGGGTTTAGGGTTTAATAGTTGTGATATGTTATATAACCGGTTTCGTGGTTGAGGGATGCGAATTAAACTTGGTCCATAATAAGGGACGTAAAGTGGACTTTTTTTTTGTCTTTTTTGGGCTGTCCAGACTATCATTGGCTCATTGCCGAGTCCGGGTAGGGCAAGGAAACCCCGCCGCCTATCATCGCCACCGCAATCCGCTTCCGCTCCGGCGGAATTCGGCGTCGTCCGTGGCGGATTCGCCTCCATCCCCAAGTCCAAATAGATATATCCAGCTCCTCTCCTACCCACACTCCCGTATGCAACCCACGGAGATCGGCGCCGTCTCTCCGTCCGTTTAAACTCTAAGTTGAGCCGAGACGGCTTGGGGGGATGGCGGCGCCCGGCGGCCGAGGGGGTGCGGCGGAGGAGGAGGAGGAGGGCTGCGATCTGTTCCAATGCTTCTGCAAATGGCGCAAGCGCTGCAGCCCTCGCATCCCGCGGGTCTCTCCGGGGAGGGATTACGTCTGCATATCCTCCGATGCCTCCGGCGACAGCACTCCCAAGTGGTCTGTCCTCGTCGGCTGCACCTCCATCTATGAGCCTTTCCATAACCTGCGGACACATCGCTTCCGGGTTTCCGATTCCGGCCGAGTCATGGGCTGCAGCGACGACATGCTCGAGCGCTTCCGCGGCGTGTCCCCGCACGACGACGAGCACACTGTTTTCTCCTCCGCCACAGCTGCCATGGCGCCCAACAGCCGCAACATGTGCATCATCTGTGCACACTCTCCCTCGTTCGACCAGAGAAGCACTGACACTAGCGGTGGTGGTGGTGGTGGAGGACAGGACATTGGGCTGCTTCCTAAGGTGTTTTTCATGGATTGTGTTGACAAGAGTTTGACGGTCTTGCCACCTATACCATTCCCACATGGCTCCTATCAGTCTGTGTCAGCTCATGGTGAACTCTGGACTCTTGCTACTGTGGAAGACCCAGGACCCTCTGGCGTCAAAAGGCGACTTTTGGTGTATCGATTGGATGGAACTAGTAACTCTTGGGCTAAGATCAGTGACATTGACTTCCCTTACCGCCGCCCTTCGGTCAACATCTTCTGTGGCGGACCTCTCCTTCAAGGTTATGCTGTCATCAGCGACAGGTTCATCTTGATGTCCTTTATCGATCTCAGCTTCTTCTGCTTTGATTGTGTTTCGAGTTCGTTGACGCGAGTCACCACTGAAGATGAAACTTTCCAGTATGTTCCTATCAGAGGTAGAGCGGCGCATGTTGCTCACAATGACAACGGCATCTATTTTATCGAGCGTGGCACATTGTTCAGATATAACTACTCACCAGAGAGCAACAAGCCACTGAAGCCTCCTGAGGTGATCGACGCTATCTGTCCCTACCGGAAGGAAGGGTATGGATTCGTCATTCACCTCAGGAATGACATACTCTGTGCCGTTTGGATGAACATGAACATACCTTGCAAGTGTGCCACACGGCATGTCCTAATCACAACTTTCCGAATTGAATGTCAGCTCGATAAGGATGATTTTGAACCTAAAGTCCTCGAGGTCCTACACTCCACCTGCCGTAGAATTGGTATGCTTCGAAGCAAAGCACCCGGGCATGAGTCCTATGACAGATTGTGTTTCATACAGTAAGTCACTAATATGTTGTTTTGTTTTGCTCTTATGTTTCTTACGCTCTATTCCTTTCAATGGCATAAATCATTTTTTATGTTGTTCAACTAAAATTGTTTTGGTAAATTAGGGAATATCTGGACGATTCATCTGAGATTGATCCTTCGATAGCTTTGATGATGGGAGCAAGGTCCAGCTACTCCGAAGCTGATGAAGTTGACCCAAAGATGCTGCTTTGTTGTAGGTACAGTTTCGTTCAATGATTCTATTTTGTTTTTGTTTTTGGTAGTGAAATGAAATTGTTTCCTAAGCCATTTTGTTTTATCAAACAATTCTTCTATAAGTAAGAAATTTATTCATCAATGCTCTTGCTGTCTTTCTGTTAACACATTTATAATAATGCCATCATAGGAACTTAGTTCATTATAAGCTACAATAATGCCATCATAGGAACCTAGTTTATTACTCCCACCGTCCCCAAATATAAGGGATTTTGGTTTGATGGGACACATCCTGTCCAGATTGGTAGTACTAGGATGTGTCTCATCCAACCAAAATCCCTTATATTTCGGGATGGAGGGAGTATAAACTCTAAAAGTCAGATGTGATCCACCGCGACAACTACGATATATTTTCACTGCATTGGTGTCATATTTTTAAATTATTGTTTACTGTCCCTAAAACATAAGAAACCACTATGTGGATGTCATAAATTTATTTGTCGTTCCAATTTCTCGAAGTTTTAAATATGACTTGTGTTGCAATTATTCCATTAATCCTTCTAATTTCCAAAGCTTTAATCACTTTGTGGTCATTATATAATCATAATCATTTATATCCTAAACAATAGCAACCTTTAAATGCAGGGAGTTTTTGAGCATAAGAGAACTTAGTTCATGTGTAGTTCTTGAAGAATGTAGGGTAATGGTCAAATCAGAATTCTATTTCATTTGTCAGTCGGGTCAACACACATATTTATATAAGATCTCTACTGCAAGAGGAAAGTTGACATGCCATGAAACCATTCTAGAAGCAGAACACTCTTTAGAGACAATTAGGAATGGGGATGTCGGAATAGATGATCCGCCTGCATGGCATTTTGTGAACTATGGAGTGAAGCTTTATGTGATCCCCTCTGTTCCACAGTACAATCACTATTATGAGGTGGATGTCTACAGAAACTCCTCTCTCATCTTGGAAAGCAAACGGCCTAGTATTTGTTTCTCTGCAGTTTGTCGAGTTGGGCAACGGATTGTGGCATTGGGTGATACTTTGGAGGCCGTGTATATTCTTGATCTCCAAAATGTGGAGTGGGTCTTTTGCAAGACATCGTCGACGTTTTTAGACTTAAGAAAGGAAATCAAGATTTCTGGATTTGTAGACCTTGGTAATGATTCAATGATGATTTCAGAAGTTGATGCATGTGAGTGTTTTATTCTAGATCTTAAGAAGAAGCAATGGTTTGTTGTAGAGCCGCCTAATGGTGACATCTGGCAGTACTGTGTTGGTCTGTTGAGCGGAACATGTATGTTCATTGAGGGCTTTATATATACCTGCTCAGATGGGGAAATGGTTGCATATGAGTTGATCGAGAAAGATGGTTTATACCATTGGGATGCACCTGTCATAATGAGGTTACCATGGAAGAAGTTCTCTAACAGGAAATTTATGGCGTTCTGTCCAATTTGTAAAGATGTCATACATGATGACATTGCATTCAGTATTGTGGAGGCGCGTCCGTTTGGTTCAAGTCATACAGTAGCTACTACAATAGTACAAGTGAAGCTTCAGGAAACGACACGAGGATCCAAAAGACCAGTTGGAATTGCTCATGCAGATATTTCAACGTCATCGATTGAACAAAATGGATGGATCTTATCCAACTACGCATTTACTTTATAAGCAACTGTAAGGTTTTTGCAACAGTGAAATCTATGATACTTGATTGCTTTTCTATTCTGTTTTATCTGATTTAACATATGCATTAATATATTTGCAGTTAGAAGTCTCTCCTGCTGGGACTCTCCTGCTCGAGCATGGAGACGGGATGCTGCTGACGACGACGGTGGACATGTCTGGGGTGACGGTACACGTGAGCCCATCCAGCTTGAGACGACGAGGAAGGGGACTGATGAGTGGTGTCACGGCGCCGGCTAGAGGGTCGATGAAGCAGGCCTCGTGGGAGGCGCCGACGGCGAGGAGGCGGCCGCTGGCGCCGATCACCATGGTCTGCGCGGGGCCGGCGGCGAGGCTCGGCGGCCAGGGGCAGTCGCGGGTGGTGCCGGAGAAGACGAAGCGACTGTGAAGGAGCGGGTCGTGGCGGTGGTGCGGGGCCAGAAGCCATGGCAGGAACGCGTTCGGCTTCGTCGCCGCTGGTGACGAAGCCCCTGTCTCCCGCCATGTGCGGCACACGCCCAGGAACCGCACGAAATCGACCACGTCGTCGAGCTGCGCTGCGATCATGCCGAGCAAGTCGTCCGGCACGCTGATGGACCACATCCCCGTCGCCGCGGAGGCGTCGTCGTCGTCGTCGTCGCCGCCGCGGCCTGCAATTGCAACGGTTGAATTCTCGCACGCGCGCGGGATGAATGGATGAATCGATCGATCGAATCGAAACACGAAAACGCAGGGGATCGAAGGCAGGCGATCGATCGATCGAACATACCTGACACGCTCCCCGTCGATCTCCGCGCCTTCTTCGCAATCTCCATGTCAACCGCCCCGGCAACGGGAGCGATCCCGAGCTAAGCGTCCGCAACGCACGATCGGGAAGAACGCAAATGCCGCCTGCGCCGAGCAGCTGGCCTAGCCTGGCTGTGCACGCGGCTGTCGCCGTCGCCGCCGCCGCCGCCGCTACTCCACGACGACGAGCAAGCAGATGAGATTTTGTGGGGGGAGTCTCTCGCTTCCGGTTTGAGGCGGCGATTGGGATTTGGGAGGGAGACGCGGGTATTTGAACGCGCGGAGGGGAGGGGAGAGGAAGAAAGACGAGTGGTTGCCACGTGGCACGCCGGGTCCCGGTCCCGCGACGCGAAGCAGCGTACTGCGTGCGTGCGCTTCATTTCGTTTCGTTGGGCCGGGCTTTCCAGAAGGCACGGGTCCAACCGATTACGGGGCACGCGCGGCGGCGGCGGCGGAGTGACCGGCGCGACGCCGCAGGCCTGCAATGTGGGCATTCCTGATCTCCCCGCCGCTCCGGGATGCCCCCCCCCCTCCGTCGCCGGTGCCGTTGAGCGTGCTTGCCCCGCGGTGAGATTGTTTGGTTCGGCCGCGGCTAGGGTTCGGGTAGGTGGCTGCTCGCCTTGCTTGCCTTCCAAAAATTGTTTGGTTCCATGAGTCGTGGCGTATTGGGTGCTCCAGTGTAGGAAGCAGGGTTACACTCCCCCCGTATCGTATCCTTGGCCATCTTGCTGGATTTGTTTGGTACCTGAGGATCTAGCTACAAGTGCCATTTTAAATTTGGGAATTCTGACGTTTAGCTTCATAAATAGGTGTTTAATTTTGGAGACCTGTATATGTTTTTTCTGCTTCGGACCCAAGTTGCCTAGTGCATTGTATAGTTTAGTGGGTTTCTTGTCATTTTAAATGAGCAAACTAATCTTAATTTTCTCTGTGGCAACGTGGAAGTGTGGATATTTTGTATTCTGCAAGTGAATAGGAGGTGCCTGTAGAAACTTGTAGACTGATCTTGCATGATTTTCACAGCATCAAGTCTTAACATGGAGTATGGCTTGTCCTGCTGTTAGTGAGATGGGTACCATCTATTACAGAATCATACACTTGTATACATGGAGAATTTGTTTTTTCTCGTTAATGGAGCAACTCTCGATATTTATGCGATTCTTTTTATATCAGCAGTTTGATAAATCACTGGCTAGCATATGCACTGTACAGAATTGGCTGTTATGGACTTATGGTGACATATTACATATAAACATGACATGCATTGGGTGGAAAACAAAATGTGCAGTGAGATTTGTCTGATTTTATATTTTGTGTTTTCTCACCTTTTCTGAAGATTTTTATGAGTAGCTTAGTCTGATAAGCTTTATCTGTTTCTGGGATATAACATTGTTGAAGTATTAGTGTGCAATAGAGCCTGTACAAATAGAGTTAACTTATTCTCCTTGAGTTTTATGGCTCATGACTTCATGCCCTCTGGTGTAAATTGTTTGTGATTTTGGAGCCAACTGCCAACATATAGGTTATCCTCCTATTCTGTCCATGATGATGGCTACTTAGGAACAGTACAAGTATAGTTCCTTAAGTACTTGCAACTGCCTTATATGCTAGTAAAGTAGTAATAATCATTTTTCACTTCAATAAGTAAACACTCATTCTGGTAAGCTACTTATGATGAGTTAGGTGATGGGAACATGTGTGAACTCGAGCTGCATCTTTGGTGTGACTGATTTTTGTTCTTGTTTAGTGTCCTTTTTGGATGCCTATTATAGTTTCATTCTATTGTCATATTTTCCTGCCATTTTATGTACACTGAAAGGAAAACTTTCACTTCATCTGATGAACCTGGTTTGGATGGAATTCTCTGTGTTCTTTTGAAGCACAAGTTTCTATATATATCTGTTCTATCTTTTATTTTCTTACATTCTTCTTTTCCTGCATCATGTGTTTTATGTATGTTTTATATTTGATTTTCTTGTTATTTCCATTCCTAGATCAAATGTTTTAAGACGAAAGTGAAACAAGTGTAACACAGACTGAAGTAATAATCGGAAGGTATTTTTACCTGGGCTTAGCATGATTATTCTTGAATTGTTTTGTTTTCCTTGTCCCATGAGCATTATTGCAGCATATTTATCAAAAGAATAAGAAGTCAATCTGAGAATTACAACCATATAAATTTCTAGCCTGTTTTTTAGTCACATACTGTGCTGAAAGATGGCTTGACTGTTTACCAGAGGAAAGTTACACTTTATGTTGAAATATTCTCCAACTGATTTTTTTTTTTTAGTTTTTCATAGGTTGTTTGGCTTGGCATTTTTCTTTTGCTCTTTGGTGGATCCCAAATAAATGGCTTTTTGTGAGGTGAGTCCTACCCGTTGTCATGCTTTCGTAACATCACATTTGATTTTTCCTTCTTCAGATAACAATTTCATGTGTGTTAATACTTATAGTTAGGGATGAAAACGGAGCGGATACGGACGGATAATGCTCATACCATATTCGTTTTCATATTTTTTGCCGGATACGGAAACGAATACGGATAGCTCGAATACGGAAACAAATACGGACTATCTCGAATACGAATAAGAATCGAATATGATCGGACACGAATACGGAAACAATTTTTTCTCGGAACACGAAAACCAATTCAACTTCTAATAGAAACAAATATCAACATATATAATTAGCTCATTTTATATAAAATATAGTATAATTTATAAATATTTTTAAAATTTTAAATAATATTAATAATGTGGACTAGTGTTAAGAGATGAACTACTATTAAAATCTAAAAAGGTATATTGAAGGTCATAGAGTTATAAAGAAATGGGATATGTCTTGTGGCTTCTGCGGATATCCGAATTATTATCTGTATCCGACGGAAATCCTAATACCATATTCGTATTCGTATCCGAGAGAAAATATCCGTATCCGAACTATCCGAGAATTATCCGATCCGAAAGGTATCCGTATTCGTTTTTATCCGGAGCGGACGGAAACTATCTGCTCCGTTTTCATCCCTACTTATAGTTGACCTCTTTATTAATTGGATTGTAACATCAATGCTGACTACCAAGTTTATTAGTGTTCAGTTTCAAGAATCACTTGCTGTGTTTATTACTGCTTGTACCGCTCCATTGCAGCAAGCGTTTGGAAAACCATAGCCCTGCTGGTGAGATGTGATTTTCATGGTAAGAGCCATGCGTTATGATAATGGATGCTTTTTTTTTACTAGCTAGTCAACTTGAGATGAGCCTCATGACAGAATGATTGGTAAAGAAGTGGTTGTTGTATGTTGACATCCGGTTCAATCAGTAGCTCTATTTTTTTGTTGATTACTAGCTATACACTTTTCTTGAAAAAAGAAAGTACTGTGCGTGCATGCAGGTCAATTTAGTCTTGTATTGTTGACTCCACCTGTTGTTGATTTCTTTTAAGTTGGATTTTTCTTGGAGCCATAAATAATTCAGATACTCACAATTGCTAACAACTGTTTCCTGATGGAAAATAAAATCGAAAGTACAATGGCATTTGAAAATTGTGATTTCAATAGCTCATCACTAAGTATTTATACCCATGCAAGTTTGAGTTATTTGTGCCTGCATTTATTACAGAATTAGGTTTGCCTTGTACAAATAAATGGATTACAGTGGTGGTTGAATATCTCAACACTAAATATTAGAAATGCATGACTTACAGAACTGGCTTTGGCAGTATGTAAGATTCCAACAACGAGAGTTGGGAATGAAAGAAGGAAGTGACCCTGCCAACTACTACAAGATTTTGAAGATCTCTTGAAAGAGCCTAAGAAATTACCACTGAAATAAAATATGATTATGCCATTCCTTGTGGTCCTGGCACTGCACCTGTAAATTCTAATCCTTACCAGCATTGATAACTGCACAAAGACAACATTGAGGAAATGGCGCACCATATGTTTTTTCCTCAAAACTGCAACACATGCTTGCTAACTGTGTTATTGAACTGGGTGCAAGCCCTTTCAAGTTACCTTTAGTCTTAGTGAAGATTGTGGAAGGGTGGGAGTTTCAAATGTCTAATGAATTCAGTTCTGCAGCTTTATCTTATTAAGTTCACTATTGTGTTCTTGGATGACGTCTTGGTATTACAGTCTTTCAAGGCACATGTGAAAAACTTGGAGCATGTCCTGACCACACTGTGGCAACATCAACTCTGTGTTAGACGCAAGAAATGTAGTTTTGCACAGAGAAGACTGGAGTACCTTGGTCATGTTCTTAAGAAAAGGTGGCCACTAATATGCACAAGACATAAGCAATGTTGCCCTGGCTACAAGATAGAATTGATATGGAGTTGTGTGGTTGCTAGGGCTAATGGGGGCACTGTCAGCTCTTTTGTTTGTCAGGCATTATTGAATCATCTCTGAGCCACAAGCTAATCTCCTCAAAGGAAGGTGTTACATTGAGAGTTTGGAACAGAGAAGTAGCTTCAGATTTTCAATGATTGAAGGACAATCCAGATTTCATAAGGCTTTTGAAGTCAATGGAAACTTGAGATGATGGTAGAGGTTCCATTCACATGCAAAGTGAGCACCTGATAGCTTACCTGGCCAAGTCTCTCAATTCAATGCATCAAAAGTTGTCTAAGAGAGAATTTCTGGCATTGATCATGGTCGTATACTGCTGGAGACCATACCTACAGAAAGTGGAATTTGTAATCAGGACCTGCAGCCATGTTATTTATAAGACCATCAGTTTCTGTATGACATGCCCGCAAAACGCAATGACAAAACCTAATGAATTGCAGTTCATGATCCAGTGCAAGAAGGTCAAGAGAAAGGAATGCAGATCAATGCCTTGGCTTGTACTTCCTCATCACTTACAGTCCAAGCTGTCTCAGAATGCCAACAGAGTTTGTCTTCAGGAGGTAATCAGTTCTGAACAATTGTCCTTTGTTTTCTTCAGGAAGATGTTAAAACTGGTACATAAGTAACGATGAGGACTAACACATCTACAACCCTTTCAAGCTACCAATGGGTAGGTCAGGTAACTTGTCTCATCAGTCCATATCTTAAGACTTAATCTAATCACTTATGGTTGCTTTTGCTCTTTTGATAGAGTCTCAATTAGGCATGACAGGTTTTGCCATAAATCTTGTTGCTAATATTACTGTTGTTTTAACATTCTGGTGGCATTTACAAGTTTCTGTTCTTCCTATGTTAACTCATCAATTAATTCCTAATAACGCTCATGGTTTCATTCTATTATGGAAAGAACTGGTTTGCTGGTCATCCTGTTAATTTTCTAACAATTGATTAACAGTTCAGTGACAATTTATAATATAACATAACATTATAGGATGTTTCATGGGTCTCCTGTTCAGTGTTTGCTTGTTAAATTGAGCTTTGAGATTCTGTCTAAGGTTAACATCTTCTGAATAGATTAGCTATAATTGTTGATCAAGTCATTTCTGAATATTGAACTGCCTTTATGAAAAACGGATTTATCGTGAAGAGTGTTTTCATCGTCCATGAGACCCCTCGTAAACCAATTTTGAAAGACTTGTGACAAAATAAGATGGCCTTTTCAATATCAAGTCAAATTGAAAGGCTTCTCTGATATTTGGTGTTATTGGATTATGAAGGTTGTTGGGGAGGTCGGTTAGTCATAAGGTTGGACCTTATTTCAAAACTTTCCATGGTCTGAGACAGGGGGATTCCTGTCTCCCCTTTTATTTGACATCACTCCAGACACCCTAGCTTTATTGATTAATAGAGCTAAGGAATAAATTTTGTTTAGAGGGATGATCCCTCAATTAATTGAATATGGCTTATCTATTTTGCAACATGAACATGACACTGTTTTGATTATGCAGGATGATTTGGGAGGAGCGAGAAACCTGAAATTATTATGTCTCTTTGATGAAATATCTGGGTTGAAATTCAATTTTCATAAGATTTAGACGTTTTGTTTCTGAAGTTCTGTTGAGAAGCAAGATAGGTATAATTGGAATTTTACTTGTCTCTAGATGCTTTGACTATGAGATATTTAGGCATTGAAAGGCGTATAAGATAAGGTAGAGGGAGAGCTGGGCCATTGACAGGTGTTTTGAAATAAGATATGGAGTGACTAGGGTAAGGGTTCGAAAGCTGGGTGGGGTATAGGGGCACACACTCTAATAGAAGCTCTGAGGCTTAGAGCTAACTTCAGGTAGTCATTTCTTCACTCACAATAGAGTAGATGGGTCCCTTTATATATAGGGAGGACTGACTTGATATCCTAGTTACTAGTCTCTAAAACTATAGAACCAATACAATCTCTATCTCTAATTTGCTAACGAACCTCATCTCTTTTCCTAACTATAGCTCTTTCAACGCCTCATGGACCAAATGGAAAAAGCTGATGATGAGGTAAAAGGCGACCTATCCTTTTCGTTTCGATAAAGAATGATAGCTTTCAGCCTGATCCAGATGTGTCACTAAACTAGGCGTTTTTAATTGTGAATTTGTGTGGGTGATGCGGATTTTAGTACAGCAAGGTAGGCTGTTGACCTGTTGTAAAGGCATTTCCTGCTGAATGCTTGTTTGACTATCACCCCTTTATGCGTGCTTTCTTTCTATAAATTGCCAGTGGGATCATGGGAATTAGGGACAAACTGGTCTGTTTAGAAAAGAAGATTGTTATCACAGGCAGAGCAAAGAAAACATCATTTAGTGAATGGCATTTGTTGTGTTTGCCGAAGGACTGGGGTTTTATGTGTTCTTGTTTTGGACATTATGAACACTAATTTATTAGGGAAATGGTTTTTGGATCATTTTACTGGTAAAGGGTTGTCGCAAAGTCTACTCCATAAGAAATACAAGTGATCACTTGCTTGGCATCTGGGTTTGCAAGTTCGATGGGGAATGAAAAGTATAGTAACAGTGCAGCGTTGTGATCCATATGGACATGAAGAAATGATGCTTGTGTTCAGAGCAAACTGTTAGTTGATCCAATATAACTAATGATGACTTTAAGCTACTGGATTAAGTTCTGAGATTTTTTGCTGGCAAAGAAAGGAGATCTATAGGCACTGAGAGGAGTCCAGCTTATTGAGACGGTGGCAATGAAGGTACTATTAAGGAAAAAAAAAAGGCCTCCAGGATGATGCCTGATGATAGAGGAACTCCAGGCTGCAAGTGGGTTATCGTTCCCTGATCCCAGAATCTAATGCAAAGTTGCAAATATAGCTCTACTTTATGCTCATCTTGGTGCGGAAGAGAGCTGAGTTTGATTCCCATGTCTTTGTTTTCTTTCTGCTATTTGGAACTGTTCTGGTGGTTTTTATTAAATAGAAATTGGGAGGGAGTTCATCTTGTCATTCTCTGCACAATCAGTTCCACCTGACTTGATATCAGGATATATCTTGGGATTCCTCATGCTAAGAACTCTATTGAAATTGTTTGTTTCTAGAAGTTTTTAACACTTTACTGTATTTGTATCATTCTGAGAATCAGCAGATGCTGAGTTGGTTATCGAAACTGTCAGATTAGTTTCTGAAGTCTCGCGGTAAGCTAAATCATTTGTTTCTATAAGTTTTTCTACACTAGTTCATTTGTGAGGCTTGTTTCAGCCTTTGTCCTAACATAGTCCTTTGGGTCAGTCTATTATATTTCAGATGAAATAATTTTAGGTAATGTGGGTTATTTTTCTAAAAAAAAAGTTTACAGTTTTTTATTGCTGGTTTCTGCTGTGTAAGAATTTGCAAAGCTGGTTGACGGTCACTTTTATCAGATTCTAGTTTACGCTTAACCAAATGTTCATTTAACATTGATCTGCTGAAGCAAAAAGAAGTTATTATGAACCTGGTAAATGCTTTTAGTGTCATTAGAAAAACAGTTTGATTATCCCCCTGGCAGGATACATGTAGGTTACAAAATTTAACTGATTTTCACTTTGCATAAAGCTCTCCTTTGGTGTAGCTCTGGGAAACATGTCATTGGAGAATTTTACATGGTTATGGTGGTGCATCTCTATGTTACAATTCTTACCTGTTCATGCAATCTAGGTTGTGGTAAGCACAGGACTTCATGGCTTCAAATTGTTCGTACTGTAATTAGTGAGCAATGCTAAAGTTGATTGGCTGTCTCTCGGCCTTTCTGAACTGAAGATGAACAGTTCTTATATGCTATTTCCTTTTACAGATGAGACATATCTATGGACTAAAAGGAAGGGCATATTGATGTTTTTGCAGAGAACAGCAGCTTAGGCATCAATCCTCACTACATCCATTCCCGTGGTTGCGTCTTTTATCGTGGACATCACAGGTTGCACCATTTCTTAAGAAGAATGATACTTTTGTAGCAGCACTAAAGAAGGTTTGTATGCTTGCTATCAATTACTCCCTCCGTCCTAAAATATAAGAACCTAGGACCGGG